GGCTGTGTGGTCAACTGGTGCCAGACATCTCCTTCCGAAACCAAACAACAAACGCTGAGTTGCCCGACAGAGCTGGCCGGCCGACTTCGCTGTTGGCCTCACAACCACACAATAGAAATTTACTGCGCTTGAGGCGTGCAACAAGCCAAACTGACGTCCGGGCTGGTGCCATTTGAGCTGCTGACATGGCTTCAAGGTTTCCGTGGCGAACCACCCATGCAAGTTATATTCCCTTGGTGGCGCCAAGAAATCGATAGTGTCGTCAACAAGCACCTTCCAGCTCTGCTTCTTCAAACCAGGTTGTGCTCCGTCTGAACATGCAAGGCACTAGCAATCCAACTGCCAATTAACACTTGTTCATCAACTGTTCGTTCGTTGCCCTGATCCCGCTGTGAACCTTGGACGATCACCAGAAACATAAATGACATGCCACGCGACTTATTCACACTTGAAACAACAATTCCAGAATAGATACTGATGCATAAGTTGGACAACTAGTGACCTTCAGTTGGGGAGGAGGCTTGACGGATCGCTTGATTTAAGCCTGCAGTTGTGAAGCTCTCGGGGTTTCGCATTCCAAGTACCGGTTCGAGAGCAACACGAACACTACACAAGAGGCTGACTTGATTTGACATGCGATGTGCACATTAAACGCCACATGTGTGTGTATGCCATCGCCACTCCTACGCGAGCAACAAACAACAGGTGCATGTACACGTCTTTGTACAGCGGGCGCTGTTTCAAGTTGCTACACGACCTACAACTCGGGGCAAGATCTCACTAACATTAAGAGATTCTTGCAGTTGGAGACAAAAGACTGACAAAAGATACATCAGATTTAAATACAAAGCGGAACCAAGGTAAACTAAAGGTGGAATAAAGGTAAATGCAAAAGGTAGAACAAAGGTAAAAAGTAAAACAACGGTGAAATGAAAAGGCGGAAGTAAGGTAAAAGAAAGGTAGATGAAAGGTAGACGAAAGGTAGTCTGCCTGGCACGGTCGGTGCGTGTCGCGCCTACTGATGTCCATTGAGGCTGTTGCATGCTAAAGCCGTGGCTGTGCGGAGTCTATGGCAGGTATCATTTCCTGACTGCACGCCTGCTGCAAAGTGTGCCCCTGGTCCTACCGTCGCTGGTCTCAGCCCTGTCCTAGGTCCCAGTGCTGCGGCTGTGAGGCCGCCTCCTTGCTGGCAAGTGTATAGATTGTGGACGGGGATTGTTTTTCTTCACCTGCTGTTATCGGCGCCGCCCGTGGTTTTTGCACCGAACATCATGCCGGCGAGCGGTTCGCTGTGTCCTCATTCCAAGCATGGTTGCTGTCTGCTCGCTAGAAGATTCTACGACGCTACAGCTCTATGGACTCTATGCTTGCGTTGTCCTTCGTGGTTTTTGGGAGATACCCTTTGCCCTGGACTAACGGCCAACGATCCGTGAGTGGTTGGTAGTCGGCCTACCGATACGCGCGCACTGTGCTTTGGACGGCTCCAGTCCCCCGCATGCACGGTTTGCCAGGCCAGCCCATCAACCGTTGTCCACCTCTTTCCACCTTTCCGATCCTGTACTTACGGCCTGGTTACCTCTATTCTACCTTTCTCACGCCGGCCAGTAACCTTTTTTCTCCTTTCATCAGCCCCGTAATCACCTTTACTCTACCTTTCGCAAGCCGGGAATTCACCTTTTTGTCACCTTCAGTCGCCTCAATTACGTTTCTTCCGCCTTTCGTAAGCTGGCCAACCACCTCTCTTCCACCTCATTCTACCTTTACCCACTTTCAGTCCGCCCCTTGTCTGAGGGAGTAGAAACATTGGCATAGGTAGAATAAAGGTGGAATAAAGGTGGAACAAAGTTGGATACCTGTGGTTCACCTTGATTCCACCTTTTTTCTACTTATGGAACCCACTGAAAGGCTTGGACTAGAATGACAGCAGAGGAGGCCGCCGCCCTGTGTAAAGGTAGAGGTAAAGGTAAAATAAAGGTGGAATAAAGGTGGAACAGACGTGGATGCCTGTGGTCCACCTCTGTTCCACCTTTATTCTACCTTTCTCCACCTTTATTCCACCTTTGTTCTACCTTTTCCACCTTGACACTGCTTGTTGTCACATAGAAATAGAAGGTCGTCGCACATGGTAAAGGCAGAATAAAGGCGGAACTAGAGGTGGAAGAAAGGTGGAAGACAGGTGCTGAGGGGTAGAACTAAGGTGGAATGGAGGTGGAATAAAGGTGGCATAAAGGTGGGAAAAAAGTAGTTTTGCGGCCTGGACAAAAGGTAGCCTGGGAAGGAGATTTTCCTGCAAGCCGTGGCGAAGGTAGAAAAAGGGCAACCCCGGCCAGGGAACCCGACCAAGACGACTATGCCTGGACAGTTTGCGACGCAAGAAAAGATAAGGTTATGGTTCGCTGGTGTGTGTGGGGGTTCCGTAGTGTTGATGTCGCGTGCATAGACACATCTATACATATGCATGTAGACATATACACACATATAGACGTCTACTCGGATTCAAGATCTTGTTTTGGGCTCAAGCACTTCGGTAATCAACAGTCACAACAGCAAGCTGAGGAGTCAGGGGTGTACAAGAAACTCTACTCCGCTCACAGTTCTCGAAAAAAAAAATCAAGAATTTCCCACGCAATCTCGACAGGGCCTCAGAGTCTTCACTGCGCTATTCGTACGAATGTGATAGCACTGTCGATTGCTGTGGTAAACCTTGCAAGTCGCAGAGGTAACGAAAAGTTCTGGAGCTACATGCCTTCGGCGTTCGGTATTCAACTCCGTTGAGAGCCTCTCTATCGTCTGCCAGCGGTTGTCGCTGAGGGCTCGTAAATTTGCCACTTCAGAACTACGTGTTAGGGCGAGCTCCCGGTAGCGGTTACGATCGGCTCGCATCTCGTCGATCATGGTGCGCAGCTCCTGTATCGTAGGACTCGATGTGGTCGTAGTGGTCGCCGGGTTCTCGCCGATGAAAGCCTCGTCCACATCCATATTCACACTAGGCTCACCTTCATCATCAACATCCATGCCGGTGGATGAGGCTGTTCCTCTGCTGAAAAGATGTCTCCACCAAAGTCGAAGTGATTGACAAAGCAGTCGTTCTGTGGAGATCACAATAGCAATCAACGTAACAAACCACAACCAGTCGTCACTTGAGTGGCTGTGCTGCTCGGAAGAAGTGGTAGTAGGCACCGAGGAGGAAGTTGTCGAAGAGCTCGAAGTCGAGGTCTGTGTGGGCGCTGTAGAACTTGCCGTCGCCGTTGAAGCCATCGACGCCAAGACCAGCGCCGTCCATAACATCCGCCTCTTCGAGGTCGCCAGGTACGATGAGGCGGCTAGAGTTGCCACTTCTCGTAGAAGCTCCTTGTCATGCATGTCGAAATGCTTCTCCTCTACGACCGGCAACCGAGGCAAAGACCTCATAGTCATCTTGTGCTCGCCCTCGTTGAAGAAATCAACTTCTCCACAACTCAGCAGCTTCATCAAGGGTGCACTCACCATAGACTTGGTCAGAGCATCGGCTGTCATTGACTGCGTCGGACACAGGATCAGATACCTGATCCTACCCATCATTCTGGCCTCACGAAATGCCAGGATGTACAGCCTTTGATTCTTATCCTGGCTCACCGACTTATCACCACTGGCCAGTTCGAAGAAGTCGCGGCAGTCGGTGTAGGTGTCCGTTGGAAGCCGTGGAATGCCTTGTTCCTGTGTGGCGATGAGGGCTTGCAGAGTAGCACGACCTGGAAGGTACATAAGCTCGGCCAGTCTGACAGAAACCAACGTACTGGCCTCCAGACCGGAAATGGCCGCCAACGTCTCCGCATGAGACGTCGAGTAGCTGATGCGCTTTGCTTTTGCGCCATGTCCCCACAGTATGTGGGATCGGCCACCCAGAAGCTTGGTCAGGTGGTCTGGAATCACGTGCTCATCCTCCCGGTTGTAGCTGCCCAGCTTGTCTTCACACAACAGCACAAGAATGCCCTCTTGAGCATAGTTTCGCACATTGCCAGCTGCCGATGAGTCGTGAATGCATGCCAGACGAAATGGTGGTCTCATGTACCTGTAGTGGAGGCCAACATTCTGACCCAGTTCGGCCTTGGCCTTCTTCACGATGTTATTCGCCTGCTTCAGGTGACAAACTTTCGCTCGTGTCACCTGCGACTGCAGGCACACACGTCCGAGATCAGGTCCAATCTCGTTGCCGTCAGCCATAGCAATCCGCCCAGGATGCTGCGGTAATCAGTGAGCTCGCTGGGACGAAGAGGATCATCATCTGAGCGGCTCGGCACTGCAGCGGGCTTCAGCTTGACACAGAACTCATCCTGTGACATCCGTATGCCATCCGCTGTGCGGCTGTAGAGAACGCCGCAATGGGTAAATGGCAGACGCTGTCTGGTCACCTTGCCGAACTTCACCACAAGGAGAGCATACTGCGCATCAAGCCACTTCCGTGGTCCCGCTGCACCACAGTCGTCGACGTGTGTCGTGACACCCGAGGAGTATTGGTCCTTGTCGTTGCGCCAGTAGAAGTAGTTTTCATCCATGAGCGAGGGGACACCCTTCTGCTCCTGGAAATGCGCATGCAAGCACAGCTGCCAAGCGAGAGGCGCATCGCTAAGACCGTACACTGGTTTCAAACAGAGTAGCACGTAGTCGTTCACTTTCGTCATGTCGATGCGGAAACGACTATCGAACTTGGCCAAATGCCGCCAGACATTGGCCGGAGCAATGATCGCCACCTTCCGCACTGGAGTCTTGATGCCACGTGCCAACAGCATCTCTCGAACCTTTTCAAAAGACAAACCTTTAAGGAAAGCCCCGGAAATGTCCCAGGACTCGAGGTCGCTCTCAGTAGTGGCGGCTGTGGACACCAAGATCCGCTGGGAAAGTCGCGTTGCGGTCGTGCTGCGGGTGCTGAGCATGTCCTTTTGCTTGTCGAAGCATCCGCGGGCACACAGCCGTGACTTGACTTTCAGACGACCGTCCGGATAGCGCTTCCATTTCCTTATCCATGTGGCATCGATGACGATAGTGTCGCCGGTCAGGGAATTCCGGTGGGACTTGTCGAACGACTTCGTGTCCACAAACTGCTTCACCTCATCCTCGTCGGCCTGTTCCACTTGGTCCCAGATCTCGTAGCACTGCTCCTCTGAGATGTTGTCCGTCTCTTCATCAACTTTGTAAATCTCCGCGGTCCTCAGACAGGCCATTAGCTCTGTGGATGTCTTGCCCGGCCAGGTGAACAAGTAGTTCCTCGTAGGTTCCTGCCTGGGCTCGGTTGATCCTCCTCGGCTCATGAAAATGTCCCACTGAGCCATGTAGACGCTGTTCTCGAAGGACTGCCATATATCTGGGTACTCCGTGGGCACAGACTGGGTCCAGTGCATTACCCAGTAGAGGTTGATGAGGTTGTGCTGGGCCATGGTGTGCACCGCGGGGTCAGCAGTCAGCTGGTACAGGATTTCCAGCCGGCTTTTCTTGGACTCCGGTCCAAGAACCACTGCCCTGCTGTCCGGGCCTTTTCGCTTGTGGTTCATCAAGTCGTCCGGTGCCTCAATTTCAATGGAGCCGGTGTCTCCAGATGGTGACGTGGTAGAGGAGGTAGGCGACATGGCCACATCCTGCCCAGCAGTGTCCAGGCTCATTGGCGAAGTCGGGTCCAGAGATCCCGCATCGTCATATCCTTCAGGCGGAAGTACTTTGATGGGGGTGCCTGGATCAAACTGCGGGAAGGCGTAGAAGTAGACGTAGATCATGGCTAGGTCGTCCAAGGGAGTAGTTGTGATCCTTTTCAGTACTATAGCTTCGTGGTTGTTGTGCTCATGGCAGAAGAAACCACTCTGACCTCGTTTCCAGTAGAGCAAGACACCCACGGTTTGTCGCGGCGGTGTCAGTGCCCTGACGCTCTGTGCCAGGACGGCTCCTCCCACTGCTCGGCTGGAAAGAGCCCTTCCCAAGGACACAACATGTTTCCATGTCCTCTCGAAAGCCAGAGAACTCGTTGATGCCTTCCGCCACATGAGCACCTCTTCCTTTGTCTCGACAACCCAACCGATCGTCACAGCCTTATACGGAGACAACTTCTCAATCACGTCGCGAAGGTACTTGAGGTCCTCCTCTTGACCGTTGTTCAGAGTGACAAAGACACCGGCCTGGTGAGGTCGGATATGCCGAAGTGACACCAAATAGGGCCTGCCTTGATAAGACAGTATCGCCGAGCCTTCCGTCCGATTGATTTTCAGGAGCTCGGCTGGGCCCCGCCATCCGACGTCACCATTCACTTCCCTGTAGTAGTCGACCAACGTAGTTCCCGGAATCAACTCGTCAAGCTTAAGCTGGTGCGTCCGAGTGCGGTTGGCACGAGCGACCCGGTCCTCAGCAATTGCCTTCTGAACCATAGATAGTGCCATCTGTCTGATCCGGAGAGCCCGCTCGAATGGCGTGATGTCGGTCTGTAGTGCCCCCGCAACCGACATGATGCTGCTGCTGTCCTCCTGATAGAAAGGTCGAGGAAGAACTCCGAAGACTGCCATCGAGGGAGTGGCTCCATCATAGTTCAGGCTCTGATTTTGAGCCATGGCGCTTTCTCGGGCCAACTCGTGCGGCATGATCTTGATTCCTTGACGATCCAACTCAGCTTCCAGCTTCTTCATGGTCAGCTCCATCAATCCGATGTGCCGTTCCACCAGCCCAGTGCCGGTGTGCTGCTTTCCGGCATCTCCCGAGGTGGTGCCCTTGGGCACTCTCTCGATACAGAACCTTTCCAACTCCTTGCCGGCTTCATGTGACATCATCCCGGTCTCCTGATCCATGACGAGCTGCATAGGTGCTCCGAAGACCGCAAACCAGTGCTCGACCATCTTCCCGGCAATCTCAGAAAAGTCCTTGGACGTCAGAGAGGATGCCGCTTTGTACCGGGTAGCTTCGTCGATGATCAGGAGTATCCAGATTTCTTTGTACATGAAGAGGTCAGCTTGTATCCTGGCATTAAAGACACCAGAACTGGAGCCTAGCTTTACTTGTGGCCTGTTGGGAAGCCGAACATATTTCCTGCAGATCGAGCACGACATCACAGCTTCTTCAGCTAGCGGCAAAACGTCAGACAACAGCCCCGCTCGCAACAACATGTTCTTGAAGTCGCCGATGGGTGCATGGTAGAACCGTTCATGCAGTCCAAGAAGCAGCCGCTTCGCTGTCGCTGGGTCTCTCTCGATCAGTCCTGACTGAAGCCGCTTGAAAACCTTCTTGAAGTCAAACAAGGGCTTCACCACTTTTTCTTCTGGCTCCTGACGAACGGCATCAAATTCTTCTCCATCTTCAGCTTCCCCGTCTTCATCGGGCGGTGGTGCTGCCGCTAGTGGTTCACTCCCCCCATCATTCTCTCTTTCGGAAGGAGCCATTGGCGCGGCCGGTTGCAAAGAGGCCGCGGAGCGGCGCGCCCGTGAGGAAGAGCCGCGCGGACCATCAGGGTCACCATCATCAGCTGAAGGAGGTCGGATCAGATCAGCCGACGTATCGCCATCCTTGACGCCAAAGAGGTGAAAGTGCCAGTCGGCGTCATCCACAGGCAGATTGAGCTGATGATGCGACATCAGACGCATGTCCTCCACAGCATGCACGTTCCACTGACGCATGTTGCCCGCGATGAGAAGACGCAAGGGGGCACATGCCGAACTCAAGTATGGATCCGGAACTTTTCGCTTCCATGGCCGAAGAGAACACATCACCCCCAACACGGAGAACTGGCTCTGAAAAATCTCCTGGAAGACTTGGAGCAGAATAGGATCCTCAAGCCAGTGGTCATAGTCAATGGAGGTGTTGGCCTGGAAAAGATCGATGCACGTGCGCAGCATCTGCAATAAGGCCGCCTTCAAGAACAACTTCTGCTCGGCCGTAAGGGGAATTGAGGCATCACAGTCCAACTTGACCTTGCTGTAGTCCCCATGTCTTGCCAAGAACTTGAAGGGACCCGTCGGGTCCTCAAGGTCATCACGCTTGGGCGCGGGAACAGTTGCTGTAGATGCTGAGTCCTTAATCGGCGTAGAAGTTGATTCCTCAGAAGGTGGTAGTGCAGATGATGGTGGTGCATGTTGTTCTTTGGCCTTCGCCTTACGCATGCCAGGCTGGCCATAACGACACTGGCCAGGAACCAGAGTGTGTTCACAACCTGGAGGTGCGCCCCGGCCAAGCTGACAGCGTTCACAAGTATAATACAGATCGTGAACCCACAAAAGACGCTGTGGCCAGGGCTTGCACGATTGCCTGGCATCTTTCCGAAGGATAGCCCACAAGTCTTGGCCGAGAAGCAGACACATCCGCTTCGGATACACCGCTGCCAAAGCAGTACGATTCACTCCGCGAACTTGGCCTTGAAGGAGTCCGTGAGGAACTCCACGGTGATTGTCGCATCGCTTCACCACCATCTTCCATCGCCTATTGCTGAGCAATGCCGTAGCCTTGCGAACGGGTCTGCCCTGATCACACTGAGCTCCCAGCATGCACTGGTCCAGTCGCCACGGACGTACCCCACCGAGATCACGAAGTCGAGCAAGAGGACTATCAACCAGCATGGCTGAACCCCAAGGCTGTTCAGCAGTGAAGCCAAGGTTCCCGTAGTGCTGGAAGAGGAAGGCCTCATTCAGAAACTCCAAAGTGGGAAGCTCGGCTTGTCTCTCGTGTGCACGTATGTCTGGTGGCTTGGACGAAGAAGACACTGACCAGGGTGTGCATGTTGGTGCTGCATAAATGTGAGCTGGGACGAATTCGTAGTGGCATTGTCTCAGCAAGGTCTGGTGTGCCGGAAAGGCCATGTCCCAACCATAACGATAGTCAACTGGGAAGCCAACTGTCATCGATGCTGCCATCAGCACCAAACTCAGCCGTCCACTGCCCGAGCACAGCTCCCAGAACTGCCACCGTAGGCCGCGTCCAGAAGCCCTTTTGAACCAGGCATTCATGTTCTTGGGAGTGATTGGCTTGCGGCCGGACTTCGTGTAGAACTCCTCAGGCATGGCACGATATTGCTTCGCCATCTGTTCCTTCTGCTCCGAAGTCCAGTGGTCTGGAAAGCAATCGCCACTGTAGCTCGGAAAGTCATGGACATCCAACTCTTCTTCGATGGTAGTAGATGTAGTACTGGTCTGAGTTTGTTCCTTCGCGCTGCTATGCATTTTGAAAACTGTACGACCTGTCCAAAGCATCTCTAGGTCGCGGTTCGGCATGTTGGACTTGCACCAATCATCACGAAGAACTCGCTCACCACGCTTCTTTGGAAGTAGCTGTAGGTATGTCGTTCTCTCGCCGGTCAAACGTTCACTCGGAATCGGACAGTCCGTAGAACAGCTGGGGGTGAAAAGCATTCTCCGCGGCACGGTATGATGTCTCACCAATTGCTTACCTTCGATGGACCAACTGTCTAAAACTGGTAAAGGACGTGGTCGAGGAGGTGGTCCATCTAAGAATGGCTTTGACTGCATAGCCGCGGTAGCTGTCTCTGTCTCGTAAGACATGACCCCAGACTGTGTGTGCACATCACCTTGACAAAGGACCCCAGACTGTGTGTGCACATCTTTCATAAAAATACCAGAGGTAGTGGATGAAGTGGTCTCTGGATTTGAGCCTGTCATAAAACTTTCATCTAAACCTCAACTCGTCATTGTCGTAGTTGGGCTTGCTGTCGCCTCACTCGAAAGCGTAGGAGAGGCCGGAGAGGCGGTACCGGAGGTAGTGGATGAAGTGGTCTTTGGATTTGAGTCTGTCACGCCCCCGGCCTCGCTTCTTTCCTTGGAACACCGCTCACGTTCCCGACATGTGGATTCGGCCTTTGCCTGCAAGAAGCAATGCCGAACATCACTCCAGCGTTCTTGTATCTCATGCGACCATGTGAACATGTGCTGCTCGACGTCTTTCTGGGTTTGCTGCGAGACCGTTCGCTGATCATCAACGGGCAAGAGATAGTGCCCCGAATCGGTCAGCAACATCCGCATGTAGTGCCAGCCGCCCTTGCCATCGCTCCAACTGTGTTCATCTCCAGGCACCACCAGCACGCCATCGCCATTGGCAAAGTAGTCGCACAGAAGGGATGCCCTGCGTTTCCTCAAGGCAGGGTTCGACAACAAGGCTGGGCACAACGATCCTTCTCCACCAAGAACATCGGCAGAGAACGTTCCTTTTGCCCCGGCCAACGTCACGGGGAACTGTATCTCGCCCAGCGTCGACTCTGGCGTGCCAGATATGCCACTGACACTGTTGGTGCGATCGTGGCGCCAGCGAACTTGATCCTTATTGTCCTCGTCGATGCAGCACTCCATCAAGTCGCGCAGTGTCTCACTTCCTATGAGACCCGAGGCCGCGCCTGGGTCTACCAACAGCCCACGTCGCTTCTCTCCTTTCACCGTGTGAAACGTTGCGCTGCTGCTGTAGATGCTTGTGGCAAAGGTGAAGTCGAGGCGCTTCTCTGGCATCGTAGGAACTTCCTCGACTGCTTCTGTCGAAGACTCCACCTCCGGCCTTGAGCGGCCGAGATCCAAGACTGGTACGTCATCATCACGATCCAGTCGGAAGTGCACGGTCTTTGGCTTAGGCTGAGTGGGGCTCCGGCTTTTGACCGACTCGTTAAAGCTGTGGATCAAAGTCTTCTCCGCATAGCCGTGGTAGCCCTTGTACTTTGACTTGCCCTTGCCACGGCCTTTGAAGCGGGGAGTCCACTTGCCTTTGCCTTTTCCACTGCTTTTGCCGCCTTTACCATAGCCCTTCTTGCCCTTGCCAAAACCTTTGCCGTAGCCCTTTTGAGAGCCACCGGGGCTCCCTCCTTTGCCCTTTCCGACTGGGCACGACGATGTAGTGTGCCATCGAGAGCCGCAGATGGCGCAGCTCATGCCTTTGCCACCCTTGGTCGGATAGCTCTCCGAACCTGTTGCAACAGACTGTGACTCTGTCCGGCCGTCTTCGTTGGCTGGCTCGCTCGAGTACTCAGGGAACTCCAGGGCGGCATGGTACTCATCATAGTATTCACCATGCCAGGCATCTTCTTCCGGCCATTCCTCAGAAGCCCAGTCGCCATACTCGAAGTACTCGTAGTACGGGTCCTCAACCCATTGCCAGCCATCGTCGGTCCAGTAGCTGTCCTCCCAGGGGTCCTTACCGTCTGGTGCTTCACTTTCATCTTCTTTGTAGTAGCTTTCGCCGTGGTCATCTTTTCTTGTCACCAATCTCAATGCCAAAGTCCTGGCTTCTTGGAACCTCCTCAAGTCTCCTTGAATCTGCAACTTCACGTCATCGATGAACTTCGAGGAGAGTCCCGAGCCCCGGAAGAACAAGTAGAACCGGCCAACCTCGTTGAGCTCCAAGCCGGCTCGAGTCACAGCCTCCTCCAATCTTGCATCAAACTCTATGCTGTACTCCGACAGGGAAAGTTTGCCCCGTCGGAACTCGAAGAGATCCTCTATCGCCTTCGACACCATTTCTTGATCACTCATCCCGAAGGCATCCCTCAAGGCATTGCAAAGTGCTTGAACTCCAGAGGGTATCGCACGCTGCAGTATGTTGCTTGGGTCCATGGGATCTCTCACTTCTTCGACACTGAGTCTCACAAGGGCATCTGGTCCAACGTCTATGGTGCCGTCCGGTCTTGCCAATCTGAGCTGCATGCTTAGCCGCTGAGCTTTGCCTTGCAGCCGACCAACGACCAGAGGGCCAACCATCTCGTCTGCCCCATCGTATATTCTGTACCAGAGCTTCAACCGCTCAAAGTACAACCTCAGCGGGTAATCCGGCAAGTTGGGGCTCCAGCCGGGCGGCACTTCTCGACGAAACTCATGAAGTGGTATGCCGCCTCCTGCTGACTGGCCTGCATCAGCCATTGCTTCCACGAGGCCGCCGAACTCGCCTGCAGCAATGTAATCCTGGTAGAAGACGCCGAGGAGAAGCTGGTAGAAGAAACCGAAAAGGAGCGGGAAGTGCTCGTAGTCAATGAACTTCTCGATCTCCAAGCTCACTCTCGTGTTCCCAACCAGGCTCTCGGCTATACTGCCGTTTCCACCAATCCAAATCGTTTCCTCAGCGTCCCGGAGAATCGTGTAATCTAAGAGCTCGCAAAACGTGTCCTCCACGAGGTCGTGGTGCTCGTAGTGCAAGAGGTCGTTGTCGTGGGAGATAACTCCTGCCTCAAGGGCTCCGAATTTTCCTTGGCTGCTGAGCACTAGGATGCTCGTCTCCAACAAGAACAGCCAGCTGCCAAACCAGGTAAGGGGAGAATTCCTGGTAATGATTTCCGAAGAAAGAGCGCCGCCGCAGGCAGCGCAGGATATCGCTCGAGAATCCTATCCTCGGCAGCCCCTGGATGCTTGGTTTTAAGCAGAGCCGGGCTCCGCTACCAAACTCGGATTCAAGATCTTGTTTTGGGCTCAAGCGCTTCGGTAATCAACAGTCACAACAGCAAGCTGAGGAGTCAGGGGTGTACAAGAAACTCTACTCGTCTGGACATATATATATATATATACATGGATGCACGAAAGCATGTGTACATGTGTTCATACCCAATATGGTTTATATGCACCCGTGACCCATTCACGTGATTGCGGTTCACATGATCTGGTCATTACACCGCAACATCCCAAGTGACATTTCCCACGGCCGGGCCTATTCATACTAGTGCTGTCGCAACTCGACGCCATGACCGGGCCTAACATGTGTCACCAAAGCACTAAAGTCTAATCACTCTTGACATATTTGCTGCACGGTCTGGCCGATTCGGCGCTGGCTCTCACCTACTCAACGTCTTCAACACTTGCGATTTGGCGCCTTTCCGACAAAAAACTGACGCACACAGCAGTGGAGCGAGCGGACAGGAATGCCACAACATCAAACATATTGGACACGGACATGCGCCTGCTTCTTTTGTTCTCTGGCTCGTAGGGCTAGCCTTTTCTACCTGAGTATATCTTGCACCTCCTACCTTTCATCTACCTTTCCTCCACCTGACATCTACCTTACTTCCACCTTTTCGTTTCACCTTCGTTTTACCTTTTACCTTGTTTCTACCTTTCGCAATGACGTTTGTTCCACCTTTAGGTTACCTCTGTTTCACCTTTTATTCAAATTCTACATGCGTAGCCGTGTCCAATGCTAGAATCTCTTAACAATAACATTGAAAGCCTTGAACGGTGCCTGCAACCGAAGTGGCTTCACTCGTCGACTGGTGGTACAAACCATTGTGCACATGTGTTGACAACGTTTGCCAGTGTCCGAACAACGCGTTTTTGTCATTGGCTGAATAACAACTGCGTCAACTTCTCATGAATACTCAACGCGGCATGGGGCGGTCTTTTGAGCACTTCGTCGGTCAAAGGGTCCGACTTCCCTACGTGATTGCCGCATGGGGCGCTGTTGTACATGGCCTCTCCACATTCGGTGCTGACCTGGAGCTCGTTGAACTCCTGCCACAGAACACAAAAAAGGCGCTTCATGCGGGATCTGAGACAGGCTGCTCTGCCAGGACAGTGTAGAGAGTCTGGGCTCCACGCTTTCAAGTTGAGGATGCCATCTTTGTCGGTGTCGAACTTCACGAGGATCTGACCAAGCATGGCTCTCCAAACCTACTACAGCATGCGGCCCCTGCACGGCTTGCGAGTCTCTTCAGGGTCCAGCAAGCTGGACTCTTTTTTTGTATCGCTGTCCTCCTTAAAGATGCACCTTTATATCCTTAAAGTTTGAGCCGGGTGAAGGTCACTCAGTGCACTTCGCCCTGTTTTCTCATGGTTGTAGCTACAAGGCTCTATGGAAAGGCACGGCGAGTGCACTGCGAGCTCCAAGTAAAGGCTTGAAAACCCGCGATCATCTGCGCTGGTGCTGTACCACGCCACACCAGCCCCAGCCCGGTAGAGAAGACATGTTGGACATCTAGCACCCACCTGCCAGCCGGAATCACCGCTCAAAATGAGCTCTTCGGCCTAAAGCTTGCGGCCCAGCAGATACGGGTGAGACACGAGGCAAAAAAGGTGCGAATGGAAATCCCATGCTGCCCACAAATTAGGGCCTGTCCGTCCAAATGCCTATGGCGGCCGTGGTGTGAAGTCTCTGCCTTCGCATTCCCCAAGGTCTGCGCAATCTTCCAAGCCCTTGCCCGGAGCAGTGACGAGGATCATTCAAAGTTAGACTGTGGTTCAGAACAGCTGCCACACTTCACACGTGCCGCGGGCCAGCATGCCCAAAGAAGTATACTAAGCCAATCTCATGGTTCTGCGTGCTTGGAGGAGTCACGCTTCCCGGAACAGTCATCTTTCCGCGCCATTCACTAATAGCCTAATAAACCTGTACCATTCAACCTTTGTGCAATCGTGCCACAGTGAAGAAGATTTTTAGAGACTCTCAAGCTAACGCCGTCCGCATCAGGTAACACATCTTTTGGCACTTCGAGAAAGAAGGCTGTCAAGGGTACCGGAAGGTCTTGCCAAAGCTGTCACATATGTCACTTCGTATGAAAGGGCATTTCTCTCCTGCAATCACGAAG